TCGTGGCGCGGAGCTCTGCACCGGGCGGGCCGCTGGTTGGAACGGCGAATCCGTCCGTCCGCCAAACTGGACTGCGGATTGAGCTTGGCCAGCAGAGCTCGGCCCGCCCCGCTCCCGCCCCGCCCCACCACCCCGGCTCGACGCTAGCACAGAGAACACTCGCCTGGTGGTTGCATCTGGCGCGTGACAAATCGGCACTGACTCTCTAGCCCCGCCTTTGGGTACCCGGTTCCTTAAAGGTCGCGGCGCTCGTACCCGGTCCGCTCGAGCGTTTCAAAACCGGTCAGGAGAGAGTCGATATGGGAAAGGGGCGAGGAGCGGGGGGTGGGGGGGGGGGCAGAGATAGCTAGGAAGCGGGAACTACAGCCTCACAGCAGGCAGGACCAAAGTTCCGACACGGAGCGTTTTAATGTGCAAACCAACACATCTTCAATTTCAAAAAGAAATGAGAATTAAAGTTTTCAGAAATACACAACATGGTAAAAGTGTAGGCCCATTAATTAAGCTTTTAGACTCAAAACGAAGGCGAGGAGTGGCCAAGACGAAATGATACGGACCAAAGCGGAAAAGGTTTATCTCAGTCCCCGCCATCAATTTAGTACTACATTTACAAACTTTGGTGATCGCGGAATACTTCACATTAACGTTTTTTCTTATATTAAAAGGAAAAAAATCGGTGTGCTTGCCACAATAAATATTTTTTTGTGGTGCAGGTAATGTGGTACTTCACTGAAGGAGAGCTCACTGAAATTTGATGTGTGATACCGAATTTTTGCTGCGCGATTCATTGCCTATGCTAAACGGCATAAACATTTTTCATCCCAAATAACTAAATCATTATAAAAAGCACACGGGGAAAATAATTGCTAAAATAATGCGATAACTTCTTATCGAAGAAATTGTGTGATGTCAGAGTATTACAAAAATTAGTAATTATAAGTTATCCCATTATTTTTGGAAAGAGTTTCGACAAGTGCGTGCCGTGCTTTATATGGCAATGTAGAGCTTTATTTTTCCAACTCAACGAAATCGGTAGTTTTCTTACCTCAGAATGTGATAAAGCCTCGATAAGTATTGTCATATGAATAATGAAAACACTTTTCCTGGCGAAACTTAACGAATTCGTCTGCATTCTACCTTGTTGGGAGGACCACACACGACAAGGCCTACCTTCTGCTTGTTCTTTCCCCCAGGACTCGGCCGGCAGAACAGCCAGCACGGCACGCGACGGACGACTCAGCACTCTGCTAACGTGGAAACTGACACGACGGCGTACAACGAGATCGCGTAATGTTGAAATACAGCCACAACAATTTTTCTCGAACGATTCGGACGGTATTGAACGCATGCGTGTTATGTCCACACTGTGGAAGTTCTTCTAGGTAGTATGCGGTTGCTAAAATTTTATTCACAAAATCTTATGTCATTTTCTTCAACGAAAGTATGACTTTTATTTACACAATCCGCGACTACAAAACACTACTACAAAATTCGCATTTGACGGCTTCCTGAGCGTGAGCTAGGCCGGGCATCGGCTGACGCGCATGGCGCTGTGGTGTGACGTGAATAAGTGCAATATTTTTTGACCGAATTTGACTCAATTCAATTAAGATTAAATTTAATACTCTATGCCAACCCTGCTTACAAGTGCACAAACTACCGAGTTGAACATCCACCCTATACAGGGTGGTCCACAGACCCCTCCCCTTTTTTGCTTATACTGTACCGGATGCAGGCGTGCGGGCTGGTTGCATCCTCGCTCGGGGCCGTAAGGGGCCGTGGTGAGCGACGGTAGGCAAGCCCGCCCGCACGCCTGCATGTGCTACAGAATAAGCAAAATAAAGGAAGGGGTCTGTGGACCATCCTGTATAGCAGTTAACATAGTATTAATCACAAATTAGTTATCACAAGCTTTATCGATAGAACGCACGACGCTAACCAGTTTGGTGTGCATGCTGTAAGCAGTCATAGAATAGTCGTGTGTGAGACCGTTAATCCACCAGGATTGCCCTTATCCGATACGCTGCGCCGCTGTCGGCCAAAGCGTCACTGCCCCACCGATCTGCATGCGGCAAGCGTCGGCACAAGCAGCACTGCTACCGTCAAAATGAAGACTGCGGTTCTGTGCTTCGTCCTGGCCTTGGCGGGTGAGAGCAATTAGAACCTTTACAAGTAATTAATTCCGTAAAACTCCGTCGAAATTGCAGTGGCGACACGTTCTACTGTATCGCGTTTTAAAGGGCTGTTCTTAAAATCACAAAACTTTAAGGGACCTTTTTCACTGTGCTAGGTGGCTGACTCAAGAACTTTCGTAGTTATACCTCATGAGCGCGTGCGTGCGGGTTGCCTACTCGCACGAGCCATAAAGAGCCGTGGGCAGAGAGGATAGGCACACTCGCCTGCACCCATGCAAGCCGTACAGTATAACTACGAAAGTGCGTGGGTTGTCAGCCACATGGTTAACTGCACCAATGTAAACTGAACGGAACGTGAGATTCTAACTAAACCTGAAAACATGCACTCGTAAAAAACTCTTCACTCTTTTCCTTTGTCACACACTTTTCTGTGAATGATACGGCTGTCCCGTGTTTCTCTATGCATTTCAAAATGGTTAAGTTGACTGACATTTTGGCACACATTTTTACGTTTTTTGGGTGTCATAAAAATATTTTGTTGAGTTAGGTTGCTAATTATCGTAGTCTACACCTGGAGTTATATAGATGGCATAAGATCATGGTTGGTGGGTTGCAAAAGTAAAATAGGATTCATACTTTTGCTACCTCGCGCACACTGTGTTACGATGTCCACATTTCAACAATTTTTGGACCTTCGGAAGTTTTAATGCATTTATTCTCAAAGCGTTAAAGATTTATCACCTTTGTGATGCTATGTGAGACAAGGGAATGTGGGGCTCATGGGTGCTGCAGCGTCGTAGAGTCACAATCGTTATCTCTTATGTCGATCCTATGAGATTTGGATTCAGATTATCTAGTCACCCTCAATGATTGGGAATCCGCCTCCCCTTTTATCACGTTGAGCCCCAAATGAACCGCATATGGCCACAGTCGTCACAGTCACAATGGTACACGCCTACCTGCCACCCCTGAGGCTTAACGTGTTATTAACTCTCTTCCCCTCTTGTTTATTTATTCAGAAACAGAAAACTTGTTTCTTGTAGCTGTAACGCGATGTGAATCTTTTTATTCAACGGTCAGTTCAAGTTAAATTCAGAGTAACCATACCTCGTACACAGATTCCAAATAAGTTTCACAGCTTCACGCAACCAACAGACAAGCGCCCATATTTTGAGCACAGACTTTTCTGCTCAGAAAAGTGACTTAACCTTCGGTTTTGTTTCAGGGATACGCCAAGGGGATGCCATCACGGCGGGTTCAGTCGTCAAAATAGAGGATCACCCATACCAGGTACAGCTATTTCTAATTTAAAAAACTGAAAATCCAACAGAAAATCAATATTTCCACGCTTTCAACACGATTATGTTGTGACGATCGTTTGTTATTTGTGCGATACTTGGAGTCGTCACAATTATTTGCGAGCAATGAGCACTTGGCAACAAATCCAGAATCATCACATTTTTGCGCAAAAGGCATCTGTCCAATTATTGTGCGACGAACTTTTACGTCTCTTGCGAATAAGCTAGAAGTTATTTGAATCGCAATAAATTGGATGATGCTTCAACTACCTGCAGGTCGCCATTGACTATTACACGAAGCCGGCCTCGGCCGAGGACGACGACCCATCCCACGTGACCGTCTCGACCAGCAGCGGGGCGCTGATCACGGACAAGACCGTCATCACCTCCGGCAGCAGCCTCGTGGACGACAAGTAAGCGCCGGCCAGCCAGAGAGTGCACGCTCATCGTCGCGGTCAGAGAATGGGAGTTTTGTCGAGTATCGATCGCACGCCTGCCTCCCTCCCTCACTGGCAGCTTTGCCGCACACCCAGAAAAATAGTTTCTTGATTCAAGTGCAAGCTGACACAAGATGAAATTCACCATTGAAACAAGTCAATTTTGTATTTGAAATAAGATTTTTCTCTTATTCGAAAGAAAATTTAAGCATGTTTCAAGAGTAAATTTGATCTTGTGCCAGCCTACACTTGAAACAAGGAAAAATTTACTTGAAACAAGAAACGATTTTTCTGGGTGCATAGGAAGACCGTGGACCTGAAGCAGCTCGTGGTGCGCGTCGGCGCCCAGCGGCGGGACGCGGGTGGCGCCAGCTACAAGGTGGTCGACTACCTGCTGCACCCGGCGTACCAGCACTCCTGGACCATCGACGGCGACGTCCTGCTCCTGTACCTCGGCGAGCAGGTGCCGACGCGACCCGAGACGCGCCCCGTGCCCCTGGCCGACCCCAGCAGGACCCTGGTCCCCGGCGAGAGGCTGGTGCTCACCGGCTACGGCAACTTGACGGTGAGCGCTTAACCGTATCTGCGGAGAGGTACTACACTACTGCCTGAACTGCAGGGTTTCCTCCCAACTCCGAGTGGCCATGTCCATGACATGCAAATTAGCTTCATGAAGGAAACAGAGCAGTAAGTATTGTTTACATCAATCCTGAATGGCTGCGATTGAATTCCCCTTCGCGTCGTACTGGTGACATGATAATGAATGAACCACACACTGCTCACATACTATTTATTTAGCTGATTTTTATTTTCATATCACTTCTCGTCCGTTTTGCTTGTTGCTAACTGGTTCGAACACGGCCGTCCACCACAGGAAGGCGAGGTGCTGGCCGACGGCGAGGTGCGCCAGCTGCAGGCCGCGGCGCTGCCCTTTGTGAACCAGGAGATCTGCGGGGACATCTGGGGCTTCTACGGGACGACCACCGTGCGCGCGTGCGCCGGCGGGCTGGCGAAGGACGCGTGTGGCCAGGTGAGCTCGGCACCCCAGCGACCCACGAGCACGGCGGACAGAGCGGGCCAAGCGTTTTGGGACACTCTGCACTGCAAGAACGTTCTGCACGGACTATAGCAGTTAACAGTGCCAAACCACAAAGTTTTACGTCGTGAAACTGACAAAAGCAAATGCAGAAAAAGTAACCTCTTTCGTTTCCAAGCAGAAATGCTTGCAATAATTCACTGGTGGAAAGTGAAAAGGGCGTAGGTCCACAGTGGACTTCACTCCCTTTTCACTTTTCACCAGTGAGTTCTCGAAATAAAGGAACTGATCTGTTACCGGTACTTGTGCCGCAGGGCGACCAAGGCGCCCCATTGGTCAACTGGCGCGGCGAGCTGGTGGGCGTGGCCAGCCCCCAGCTGGAGGGAGAGTGCGGCGTGCTGGGCCAGCCCACCGTGTTCACCAGCCTGCTCACGGCCGACATGCAGCAGTGGATCAAAAGCAACGCCAACGGCAAGCAGCCCGAGCCGACCTCAACTCCAGTCCCGTCTGTGGTGGGCGCCCGGCACCTCTGGCATCCTCAGCGCCGCCCGCAGCAGTAGCGCGGCGCCACTCCGCGCGCGCGGAGCCGCTAGGGGGCCGGCGGGCCGCGGCGGGCGCTACCCCCGGGCCAAAACCAGGCGTAGGGCCCACTGCTCGTCACGACCAGCGGAAGTATATCGATGCAAGACACCGGAACTCACGTGATCGTGTCCGAAACTAGTGGATGGGTCTCCGCCTCCGCTTCTCAAACCATCGGCAAATAACAAAACGATGAAGGATGGTGGCAAAAGATTTTTATTAACAACCACGGTAAATTATTTATAACTAATAATGTACAAAACACAACGGATTAAAAACAAAATATGGGATTCTGCGCTCGTGAAAAAACGTGCGAATGACTAGTAAAAAAAGGGGTTTAAAGAAGACATTAAAATCAGGTCACACATCCATTCATCTCACAACATTCAAAGACACATTGATGCAACAAAAATCCTTTGGAAAGAATGTAACAGTATTTTCTACTCTAATTAGCAATTAGAAATCTGCATTTCATATTACCATTACTTATCACAAATTATGTCTGAGACATGCAAACACCTTCCTACCATCACGTGTAAAGGGCTCGTGATGATTCGGAGGCACGGTTCTTTCCCAATCAGACATGATCCTATATCATACAGCGTTCACAGTCACAGTGCCCTACGTTATGCTAGATCGTTAACAGATTTCAACTGATACGGCTTAAGTCTATCGTTAATAAATATATTTGGCATGTAAGAATAGAATTCCTCGATAGCAATAGAATGATGAATTAGTTTCAATTCAGTGGTAACAGCCATTGGAGCGGATCGCGAAGGTTTCCTGATGAATTCAGACAAAATTCAAACCGACGATTTGCTGTCAAAATACGTACCTCCCGTACGTTGGAACTAAACTTCTTCAAACTTCTAAGAAGTCAAACATTTATTTGTCGATGTGAATTTTTTTGATTGTTTAATTGATATGATGCACATAACAAACAACTCGCGGGTGCGGGTACGTTCATTTCTGAGCTCGAAAAGATATGGTGGCGAGAGAAGGGGAAGAGATGTAAAGTCTACTGTCCCAGCAACACGGACATCACACGGCTGTCGTGTCCATCTTGCTGCGGGTTTACAACGCGGCTCGGGGTGGTGACGTTGAGGACGGCACACCCTCACGGCGAGAAGACCCTGAGCGCGCGCAGCAGGGCGGCCAGCACCGCGGCCAGGTTCTCGGCCCGCTGCGGCAGCAGGGCGTCGTCGTCCTGGATGGTGGCGCGGAAGGCCTGCGCCACGTGGCGCACCTTGAGCACGAGGTTGCGCGTCTGCAGCGGGCAGCTCGTGTGCGCGGCCAGGTCGGCGGCCAGGTGCGTCAGGCGGCGCAGCAGCGTGAGGCACGCCGACAGGTGCGCGGGCAGGTCGCCGCCGTCCTCGCCGTCCTGCACCTGCTGCAGCTGCGGCGGGCAGTCGTCCGTGATGCTCCGCACGAGCTGCTTGGAGGCGGTCACGAGCTGCCGCGCCTCGACGCTCAGGCTCTCGCGCGCGACCTGCGGGGCCCACCAGGAACAGGGGCTGCTTTACCCAATGCACTGACACGGGGCGGGTCTAGAGGGCTGGGAGGCCGCTCACCTGGAACTTGTCCTCGTTCATGAGCGGGCCGCCGCCCGCCTGCTGGTGCAGGCTGCACTGGTCCGCCACCTGGTCCAGCTGCTCCAGCAGCCCGCCCAGCGCCACCTCCGTCTTGGCCAGCAGCGTCCGCTTGGTCCACATCGGCGCGCCATTGGTCTGGGACAATAGGGCGCTCAACTATTTAAATGTGTCTGCATTTTGGAGATTTTACAGATTTGTATCTTTGACACACAAATAGAAACAACTGAAGTCCTTCTTGGGAACAACAAATGATTACTTGTACTTTCTACTTATACATTTCCTCCAAGCGTTAAATTGTGAAGTGTGTAGGTACCTGGCCGTTGCAGTAGGGAGCGCTGCCATGCTGGGGCTTGTTCTGCCCGCCGTGCCCGTTGACATGACCGTGGCCGTTCACCTCCCCCTGAGGAGCAGTCCACACCTGTGAAAAGTACAAGCCACACTCAAGATGCTGCTGTACATGCACCACATAACAGTGGGAAATTTTCGAAAACATCTGGGAGTTTCAAGCGAAACTATTTTCAGTGCACATGGCGAGTCCTGGACCCTTCCCTCACCTCCGGAGGCGCGTCGTACACGGACAGCTGTTGCACCCTGGGCTTGGCGGGGAGGGTGTTGAAGTGATGCGGGTTTCTTGGCTTGAGCGGCGGAGTCCCCGGCACCCTGACGGCGCTGGGGCTGCCGGAAAGGTTGGCCTTCCCTGACGGCAGACCGCCGCCGCCGCCCACGCGCCCGTTGCCGATGCGGTACGCCGAGCCGTTGGTGCCGCCGTTGACGCCGCCGTTGACGCCGCCGTTGACGCCGTTCGAGTTGAGGTGGTTCGCCTCCAGCTCCCGCGCCGCGCTGTTCGTCCTGGACCTGCTGGCCGCGGCGGGGAGCGGCGTCACCTGCGCCACCCGGCGTATGGTGCCCTGCAAAACCGATGGCGCCGCGGTGTCTACATCACATCTTCCTATGGTTCCCCGAGTAAACGATGGGTGACTTTGGCTTGGCCACCGCCCCAATGTCTTTCCGAGCAAAGTGCATAATTCTGACGGAAACGGGTTGGCCACCCACCATAGCGCCTGCAAGGGAGTGGGTAGGCCAACCCGCCAAGCAGCTGTGTGGAGACCGTGGCCTACCCTGCTACGGGCGCCCCGCCGTCCTCTCGCTCGTGGGGTCACCTCCTCCTACTTACATGCACGGGCGACGCCTGGTGATGGACGGGGCGCTTGGGCGGCAACCAGACCTGCGGCGGCGTCAACGCGTAGGCGCAGGCCACCCTGGGGGGCAGGTCCGGGACGGGCGCCGCCACCTGCACCTGCCCGACGAGGAGGCTGCTGCTTTTGGGCGGCCGCTCTGGTGCCACGTGCGACGGCGTCCTGGGCGGGGTGGGTGGCGCGGCCAGCGGGGTAGGCTCGGGGCCTCCGAGAGGCGAAGGCGTCTTGTCCGGGCTGTCCCTGCACCCAAGACGAGCTCGCTTAGCGCCTCACCGACGCAAACCCTCACTCACGACAAGCAAGGACACCCACCTGTACCCCCCGCAGCAGCTCGTGAACGGGCTGGACTTCTTCTCCAGGGTGGCGTACTCGATGACTCTCTTCTTGGGCGCCACCTCGGCCTGGGGCTTGGCGGCCGGCGGGTGAGGGAGCGGTGCGCTGGAGTCCACGGAGCCGCGGGACGAGCTGCCGTCGGCCTGCACACAACCGACTCGCTTTTCATTCTGGCTCTTATGGTAGGTGGCTCGTAAGATGCGGGAAACACCCAGATAAGCGATGAGCTCCATAAGTGTGAGGCACGGACCCAGCTGTCGATTTTTACTTGGCGCTTTGCGATATTTGAATGCGAGCGACCGCTGGGGTCGGTGTGGCCCTTACCGTGGTGTTACCGTACGTCGGCTCCTCGGGCGCGGCTGAGGACGGCGCGGAGGCGTCCCCGATGAAGCTGCTAAGGGACACGGCGCTGTCGACGGACACCCTGGGGGGCGGCAGCGGAGAGCAGTGATACGTCCTGGGGACGCGGCGCAGCTCCTCCGGCGTGCCGATGGTGCCGTTGCCGTGGGGCGCGGCGAGCACTGCGGCACCGCCGTCCTGCTCCCCGAAGCCGGCCTTCTGGCACGAGAGCACGGCGGCGACGGGCTGCAGACAGAAACGCGTTTTATTGAAAAAGAATTTTAAATAAAAGACATCAAATTTATATCTTTGGATCTGTCTTACAGTGGACGGCGGTGGGGGTATGATGAAGGACGAGATCTCCTCCGGGGTGAGCTCGACGGCCGTGGCGTTGCCGCTGCTACTGCTGTTGTTGCTGCCGCTGCTGCTACTACTACTGCTGCTGCTACTGCTGCTGCTGCAGCTGGACGGCTGCGGCGGCGGCGGCGCTGCCCGTGGCGGTGGATGCACCATGACAGAGCGCAGGAACGCCTCCAGGTCCAGTGAGAGCCCTGCGTCCAGGAGCGCCTGAAAGACCAGTAGTCGAGTGAATATCCCCGTCTTTTAACAAGCTCACAATCAACCAGAGATGTTGAGGAATGAACACTAGACCCACCTCCACGGGCGCCTCCTCGGGCTCGGTCTGGTTCAGCATCCGCTCCAGGCTGTGCAGCTGCACCTCCAGCGGCGTTTGGTCGGCGAACGGCGTCGGCGGCACGCTCAGGGGCGAGGACGGCAGCGCCGGCAACAGCGGGGCGCCGTCCTCGCCGAGCACGCCGCCGTCCTCATCCGGCGTGACGGGCGGCGGGATCAGCGTGAGGTCGATGATGTCCGGGTCCAGGCAGAAGGTGTCCTCCGGGAGGACGGACTCGGCCTGCATCCGCTTCAGCAGGTCCTGCGGGAGGGCAGGCGCAAGGCATCAGCCACATGTAGGGTCGCTTGAGGTGGCCCGCGAGAACTCGACCCGCCTGGTGATCGCTATCTCCCCACCCGCGCCCATACCCTCCCACCTACCTGGAAGTGCTGGCTACCCGGCCTCAGGTTGTCCGTGTCCGGGCTGTGCAGGCCGAAGCTGGAGTCGCTCGGTCGCAGCATGGAGTGCCGCCGGGTGTCCCCGTCGTCTGGAGACGCAGTGGGAACGTTACTCGCTGCTGACAGTCTGACGGCTGCTCGCCCACCTGTCGCGCTGGCGCTCCTACCTGCGGCACGGTGCGAGGGGCTCTCGGCCGGCGTGCTCATGGAGTCCGTGTCCGACTCGGAGATCTCCTCGCCCAGGTCGATGTGCGCGATGGCCGCCGAGAGGCTGTCCTGGTCGGCCAGCTTCTGCCCCTGCAAGTCATTCACCAGACCGGTGTCAGGGCCGTGGTCGTGGTCGGCTAACTAAGGGGTAAGGCGTCGATCCCCTGCGTCCGGGCCCGTCCCGGGCGCAGCGGCTAGTTTTGGGGATTATTTTGTAAGGGGAGCGGGGAGGCATCGCAGCTTATAAACATGATGAGAGCATTGCGACAGGCTATCTAACTGGATTCGAAGACGCGTACAAGCTGAGAAGAACGCACGCATTCTAAAACTTCATAGAACCGACAGACAGCAGTGTGGCTAAGCGTCCATCGTCCATCCTTCAAGATCATTTATTTCCAGTATGTTAATGATTTGACAAAAAATGCCAGGTCATGGCAGTCAGTTAGTTAGTTTACCATGCCCTTAGCAGTGCGTTGTTAGCTCGGTGATGGTTGTTAGATTCACAGAAAAAGAGACGTCGCCAGCTCAACGTCGCTAGAGCAAAAAGCAGGCACAGGCTGTCGCAAGCTGCCGCAACGCGTAGGCTAAGAGTGGTTGGTTAGTAGGGATAAGTGGGACTAGGGGTGGGCAGAACAAGCTTGAGATGGTTGTATGAGCATCTGCAAGGCAAGAGGCAAGAGCAAGGAGGGGGGTAGCTTCAGCTAACCAGCCAGCGTGTGGTCATCCTTTCCACAGGCAACCCCACAAACCATTCAGACGAGAGAAAATCAACGTCATGGACGCGTTCAACATGCACAGAGGCCATAGACAGCTGCCAAACGCAGGCGCATTCAAAAGTCGTCGCCACAGAGCCATGCACCGCCATGCACCCTGTACAAGCGCGTGCTGGCGCCGGCGAGCGCGGTGACGGTGCGGGCCAACCTGGGAGACGGCCTGGGTGAGCAGGAGCAGCGAGTCGCTGTGCTTGAGCTGGCCTGGCGGCGGCGCGTCCGAGTCTACCGGGAGGGAACAGTCTGAGTCGCTTACGCTGCCGTCGCGCGCGTGGCTGACGAGCAGGTGCGGGGCCGCGGCCGGGGCCGCGGGGTCGACTGCCTGGCGCGGCGCCTGCAGCGTCAGGTACTCCTCGGAGCTCTGCACCAGCTCCTGCATCTCCTGCACGCGCCGCAGCACCTGCAACACGAGTACTGGCGAGGGTGACGGCCTGCACTCACGCACGCACGCAGCAGCTCCGCCACTCGGCAGCCAACTTGCCTCCTCGTTGCGCGCCTCCACGATGTCCACGTCGCCGTTGTCCATGGACACGACGCTCTGGAGGTCGAAGCCGGAGTCGTCCTGGGGCGGCGGGTGCTGCAGCTTCCCCAGCCTGCTAGACAAGGTGACGGGATTAAAAAGTCGCCAAAGACCGAGCCAAAACGAACAGGTCGGAGGTCAGTAACTTTCGAATGGTGTAAAATAACTGGGCTGTTAAAGACTTCTGAAACTGATTGTAGGTGACCAATGGGTTGAGAGCACGCGCTACTTACATGGTGTTCATATTGTCGTCGACCTGGTACACGTTGGCGTGAGGGGCGAACGTCACCGACTTGGCGGGGTGGTGTCCATTCGCCGTAATCTGCATTGAAAAATCAGAACGACGTGAGGTTTTCGGGAAACGTTCATAGCCACCTCAGTTGTTTTTAAACATTAATAATTTAATGACACAGCAGCCGAAGGAAAAGAGGCACAGGAGTCCTGCTGTAAATTCCTCGGCTCCTTCCTTACATAATGTGAGGCGTCCGGGAGCCCGGGAGCCGCGTCCGCCGTCATGTAGGTGGGGGGCATCGAGAAGTTGGCGAACTGAATCTTCTCGCCGTCCTGGACGGTGGCGTAGCTCCACGGTGCCGACATCACGGCGTGCTGGCCGCGGTACGGCGGGGCTGCAGGAAACACGACGCGCTTCTTAACGTACCGCCAAACTTATGAGAATTACATCAAATTTCATAGGTTTCACTCAAAAGGCATTCAAGTTCTACACGAGAATGCCTCCGGATAACATTCGGAAAGCTGGTCCCGGTAAAGGCGGTTTTGAGTCACAAGTGAGTGTCGCGGAGTGTCGCCTTACCCGCGGGCTGCAGCTCCCGCTCCTGCACCACGGTCAGGCTCTGTCCCGTCAGCAGGCGGAAGTAGCCCTTGAGGACGAGCACCAGCTCCTCCGCGTCGCGGTCCTCCATGCTGAGGACCAGCTCCTTGTCGGCCAGCGTCGGGATGCGGATGCGCACGCAGCGGGAGATCTCGTCCTCGCGCGTCACGGCCACCTCCGACATGTGCTCCACCTCGGCGAGCGGCACGGGCTGCGGGCGGGACGCGCGTCATTAGAGTGTGGCTGCGGGCCAGGGCGGGCCGGGGCGGGCCGGGTGCCTGCGAGGTCCAGGGTAGGCACTCCCTCCGAGGCGCCGCGCGCCGTGGGTTGCCTACCCCGCGCCCCGCAGGCGCCATGGCTCACTCAGCGGTACGCCAAGTTTTACTGCTGCGTCCAATTATTGTATTGTTGACTTCAAGACGACTCACCAGACTATTTCTCATGCCGACGATTTGACTAATTCCAAATTTGGGGCTGACTAGAATCACGGTCTCCATATTTGAGTCCTGGAAAATATATCAAACGGTACGCTCTGTTAGCATGTGTTCAAGCTAGACAAACATCACTAAATAGTTATTCGATGTGCACTGCATGTGGGTGCTGGTCAATGTTGAGTATTGTACAGCTGGACATAGTGGGGTACATCACTCCAATACGCACCCTGATGTTGGTGCTGAAGCACTTGGCGCCGTACGAAGGCAGCTGGGAGATGATGTTGAGGTAGTACAGCTTGGCCTGCAGCGACGTCAAGCTTTTGTGGCCGATGCCCGACGCCGTGGTCATGTTCTGGTTCATCTTGAGGAAGTGGCCAATGATCTTCCTCAGCTCTTTGCGCTTCATGGTCTCCATCAGAGACACGGGCACGAAGCGCTCCAGGCCAAACTCGCGCCTGGATAACGAGGAGAAACCGGGTTGTTACCGCGATACTGGGCAAGAACCCCTGTTCGGCGACACCTTTCACTGCTGGAGCAAGGCACTTACTCGATCATCTTGACGGTGACCTTGCCGGCCATGTTGTTGGACACGGCGTGCTGGTGGATGTGCAGGGCGGCGAGGCGGAGGGCGATGTCGTACTTGAGCTCGGGCGCGTAGCGCTCCTGCACCACGTCGTTGCAGCACTGGTGAACACAAACACGCACTGTTAGAACACCTCTACAGCCCCAGAACTGTTCTCTTCACGTCAGCGATGTAGTTGTCCTCCACGGCGCCGCCGAAGCCCCCGCCCCTCCGACAGGCAGCGCTCGGCACGTCGGGGATTATTGTGACAAGTATTAAAAAGCCCCGCGGAAACTTTTCGAGCGTGCAATAATTAGCGCTGCAGAGACGCGGCTTGACGCACCACACAGCAAAAATACAGGCACAAACACACCAAAAAAAAAAAATACAACAGCAAGGGGTTTCGTCGACTCACTTGTAGGTACAGGTACTCGAAGGCAGTCAGGTCCCTCTGAGCGAGCTGGCAGGCGTCCTTGGGGACGAAAGCCACCCTGAAGAGGCAGCGGAGGTTGTGCGACCCGGGCCGGGCCGCGATCTGAGGAGAGAAGCAGAAGGGTCATCAGGAGAGTGAGGGTGTTTGTGTTGGGAGCTGCTTTGTTGTTAGCGGCACCCAGCCCCGCAATCCTGTTGAACAAACACGCCGAAGTCCCATTTCTCTAATTCATTAGTCATTTTCCCCGTACCTTGGACAGCGGCTCGTCCGGGTCGAGGAGGGTGAGCTTGTTCCTGCGCAGGCTCTTGACGTGCTCGACGGTGAGCGCGAAGTGGTCCGTGGCCTTGATGCACAGCTTCTGCTGCAGCGAGCTGACCACGTCCCGCACGGTCGTGCTCGCGTCGTACTTGAAGCTCTTGGTCTGGCCGTTCTCCAGGAACACCTTGAGCACGTTGGGCATGAAGGGTAGCGCCGCGTCCACGCCCGCGAACGCCGAGGGCTGTGGGAGAACACGAAAAGGTTTGTAGTAATACAGTAGAAAATACACACAAAACAAAAAGAATTTGTTTAGCAGTGCAAGTACTTGGCAGCGGAACGATTTACGCCAATGCCTTTCCTCAGAGAAATAAAAAGGACGAGATAAAAACGCACCGGAAACAGCGGGGCGCCGCTCACAGCAACGCCCTCGGCGAACCGCACCCGGGAAGGGTTGGAGCGGAGCTTGGCCTTTTTGGCCGCAGAGAGGAGCGCCGACTTCCGCGCCGACTGAAAGGAATAAGGAGGAGAAATCAGTGACAGCCAGCGGGGGAGTAGGGGTTGGGGGGGAACTCCTCAAACTATTGAAAGCTTCTTGTGAGAGAGAAGCGCAGAACAGAGAAGCAGAGGGAGAGGGGGTGGGGCGAAAAGAGTGTACAGGGAATTGTCGTTTCTCTTGTGCGAATACTCTCGAATCACTTGATGGCTTTCTTTATCGAATAAAAGAGGATGCTTGGAGGGATGTTTAAACCTTGTAACCTAATTAAGCCACTTCATGCGGATTCAATGGCACAAACACATATATGGAGAGAAGCTTGCTACACCCAAAAATAAAAGATGTCCCTGTTCAGAAAATTTTAGGTGTACTGTTCTCAAAACAAGCTTGAGAAAAGTCAGTTACGTTCACAAAAGACCGAAGTCAATACAGGAACGGACAGCGTGTACTCACGTTGTCGAGCGGCGGCTGGCAGACGACGAGGGTGACGGTGGCGGCGCAGGCGCGCACCAGCTGGATGACGCGGTCCCGGGGCGCGTCCTTGACGTCCTCGCCGTTGACGCGCAGCACCTGGTCGCCGGGCTGCAGCTGGCCCTCGCTCGGCCCGCCCTCCGTCACGAAGCGCACGATCACGGGCCGCTCGCTGCCCGCCACGAAGCCGAAGCCCTGGTCCGGGTGGCGCAGCAGGCGCACGGTGCGCGGCGCCGGCGCCTCCTCCGCGCCGCGCCACGGCCGGCAGGAGCGCGGGTCCTGGTAGCTCGTCGTGCGGTTGACATGGCTGCGGGCAGAGCCGGGCTGCGGTGAGCGGGGGTGGCTCATCCACTCAAATAATGACATTACACTCTGTATGCCTGATGCGCCGAAATTAAAACTCTCAAAATGAGCGAATATTTGCGGTAGCAGAGGCTGAAAACTTGCATTTAATTTGGAAGGGTCGTCGGTTCGTTTTCGATACCATTGCGCTTGTTTCAAAAATATATGTCGATTTATGACAAGTAATATCATTTGATAGCCCCCACAAGCAGGGCATAGAAAACATCACAAATATTGAGAACACATATTTTCCTGGGTGAGGCATTTACAAAACCTTGAACAAAGAGTTTAAAGTGGAAATTTACTTGAAGGGACTTTGATGATGTTAAAAATGATCCAGGCCACTTATCGTGATTCACGTGATTGGCGATGAAAAAGGATCTGCGCTTGTATTTCTAGCTAAGACACGTAGAACAAGAGATGTTGTTATAAAACAAACTACATACTTTACATCCAACATTGTTTTCAGATAGCTGCTGCCAAGAAATGTGAGCACAAAGAAAGCGCAGACTGGAAACCAAACAAACGAGCTACTAGAACACTGAAAAAACAAGATACTTATTATCCGTGCTGCTCCTAAAACTGTGTGAAAATGGCCAGAAATGGTCGAAAAAGTATATATACTTGTTTACTTGCACGAGTTAGCAAACTACGCCATCATATTCATATTTGTTCGAATCGCATTTTTACAAGGAACACGATGGTCCAAGCAAAAATGAAATTGAAGAACTCGTTTAAGGAATATTCCACAAAACGTGGTAATAACCTGCGTTATCCGTATGCGGATAACATCCATCATTCCTCCGTTTACAGTGTCGGCACAGCGGCAAGCCTGACCATACCACACAACGCGCTACGCAGGCCAAACGCAAGCTGTTAGATTTACAGCACAATGTGGTTCGGACTTAGGTCCTACTTCTCGCGTGTCGAATATTGCAAAGCAAAATAAGCCGTTTTACTCTATGCAAAAGTGCATTGCGGTAGGTTCTAGCAAAGCACAGACCACGCCTTTCCTTATATGAGCTGCTAGTCGTCAAGCATGCTGCATATATATTTATAGCACATTAAAGTACATCATGGACACTAACTTTTAACAGCCTATTGTTTTACTTGGTGATACTACAAATCTAAACGTTGATTGTAACTCCACAGTGACAAGTACGCAATAACACCGGGACGTTTTTTGACCCAGACTGGGCAGCCCCGGGCGGGCGCTCCCGAGGCCCACGGCCCATGCAGCGCCGGGAGGAGCGTCACGAGCAACGCAAAGCGCTTCGCAAACAAACCGCCAAAACATTGCCAAACAACAAGTACAGGCACCAAGCAACTGGTCCTGGCGTGAACATTTGCTCGTCAGTACGATTATTTTTCCAAGGCTCTGCATTCATTAGCAAAAGAGCGTATTGCAGCCAGCTTGTTGCCTTGACATGCGCTACCTGAGGAGGGCAGTAGGTGTGGAGTTGTTGGTGGTGGAGGTGCTTGGCGGCTTGCGCCCCAGAGTGAAGGGCCTACGTGGCGACTTCGGGGTGCCCTGAGGCGTCCCCTGGGGTGTGCCCGCGGGGGTACCCCCCTGGGGGGTACTCCGGGGAGTGCACGACCCTAGGGCAGAGTTACACAGCGAACCTGCCGAGTCCAAGCAAAGACAGCGGCGGGCTCAACCAACAAAACTACGTACAAAACGTTTTTAAAAATCAGTGTGAGGTCAAAAATAGTAAAAATAAAAATGAATTAACTGTGAATTGCAAGAAATTTAAGGAAAAAGTCTCTTTTTAAAAACAGGTGAAGGAAAGGTGCTCGTACATTTTTCGGGTAACGTTACATAACGGTTATTATGCATCAAAAAGTCACACTGCGAAAAGTACCGGTTAAGTTGAAGTAATCTAGGGCAAAGTTTATTTTCTTTTTTAAATGAGTACTGAACGCTGTTGGAATTATGTTTCTTCCAAGAAAAGGCTTTACAAAAAGGTAATATTTTATGTCATATTAACTCATTTGGTTGATTTTTATACGCCGTTCACTGGAAATAATTCATTTCATTCTCCTGCCCACGTCATTCCAGCTCAATAACGGGCAAGAAAAAGGGCTTCAGAACAGGTCCACACCGACAAAGCGCAGAGTGGGGGGAAGGAACGGGAGGGAGGGAGGGAGAG